TCTTGAGAGCTTAAGACCTTGCTCTACTCTGATTGCGAATTCTTCCGACATGTTTTTTTTTTCCGGCGATGAAAAAAAAAAAAGAAGGTTAGGGAGAGTGAGAATCTGAAGAGATTATCTCAGGACCGTGATTAAAGGGGGGGAATTAAATCGGCCGGTGAAAGGAACGGCAACAGAAGATTTTAATAAGTGGGATGATAAGCCAATGGATTTTATACACGTGGAAAGTATCCTGCCGCCACAACAGTCACGGATTTTTTTAATATATACATAGAGATAATTTTATATTGGTTTTATTATGGTGAAAATATTTTTTTTTTCTCTCTTTTTCCTTTCCCATAAAATAGTGTTTTTCTTTTCCCCCACCAAATCATTGTTTCTATTCTAGTTGTTTCTATTCTCCAAGATGTTATTTTGTCAAAAAGAAATCCCCCCTTTGTATCATGATTATGTATCTTCTCAATCTATATGAGATATCATTTCGCTTAAAAAGAAAGTTTATTTTTCCAACTGGTTTAAACTTTGAAACTAACTCAATAATAGTTTTGGAGGTTTTTGTCCTTTTAGGCATAATGTTGCAATTGATAGTTGAAATGTTGAATATCAGTGTTAAGCGTCAAAAATACATTCATTCCGAAAAAAATATATATACATTCATTTCAAACGAAGATGAAAGAAAAATGCTTTCCTTGATTTTTGAATATTAAAAAAACTTTGGTGTTTTAGAGAAACGTGTTTTTAACCATTTTATTGTTTGGGCATTCAATCTCTCAAAAAAACTTTGGTGTTTTAGAGTCAAAATATATAGTCAAAAGAATATGTTTTTTTTTGGTGATGTTCATAGAAATAACGTTGTTGTAAAATTTTCCATCATTTTCTTTCCATCATTATGCTTCCACCTCCGGTCCAATGTAGTATTTACATGGCAGTTGTAGTTTCTATATATCAGTGTGTCGTTTTTGGATCTTCGTTTATAAATCATACTTTTATGTATAAAATTTAATTACAAAAAATAATTTGACTATATACTGTACCCTTTTCATTTCGATAAGAAAATATTTAAATAAAAATAGTTAAAAATACTTTTTTAGAATCCTCCACGTCGAGATCGGACCACGATCAGCTTCTCAATATGGGCGTACCAAATCTTGAGACATGTAGGCCATATACAATAAATTACAGTTATTATTACTTCTAAATAAACAAACAGTTTTGGTTTTTATATATTGATTAGGTGTCTGATCTAATTTCAAGCTATGATTCCTTTGATGGCTGAAATGGTTTTTACTGGTTGCAGATGTTTTTTTAAAAAAAAGGATTAGTACTGGTTACTTATTTCTATCGGAGAGTTTCAAACAATTTTTGTTTGCATAATTAGCCAAAGTGTTGGCATAAATAAATTCATTAAAAATAAATAGGTTTAACTTTTAATTAAGAGCTGAGTAAAACCTGATTTAACGGATTGCTGTCTGCCACACTTTCCATTACTAAGGAGAATTAATGGAATTTGACCAAAGTTTTCATTACTTATTTTTATATGATTTTGGTCCACTAAAGATTCGAGACGGACCAGACGGACCTACCTTATTTATAAAATGAAGTTGTAACCACTAATCAGTCGGCGTCGGACCAACCACAGTGCTGACATTTTAATTTTTTTTTTTCTCTACTCTATGATTATATATTTTGTTTGAACGAAATGATATTATTAATTTGACTGATTTATTGTTATCTTTTGATAATCCAGTCAATAAAAAAAATATAACTTTTAGTTTCAACTTCGTGCCATCGACTGAAATAATACTAAACATAGGCGTGAAACAATCTTTGTTTGTTTTTAAACCGTTTGTTTATTATAATAATCACTTCCCCATTAACAAGCTGAGTACAATCATTTGAAAAACGATATGAATGTGCGTGTGAGCGTGTCATTACCAACTCTGTTGTCATTGAATATAATTTTGTTTGTAAAACTTTAACTAAGTAAATGACGTATGCTTATACTTCTTAATTCTTTATCTTGAAAGCGAGATTAGGATTACATGATAGGTTTAATTGGTGACTCCGTATTGATACCGATTTAATAATTATTAATCTCAAAAAGGTAAAAACTAGTGGTATTTTCAACTTTCTGTACTATTATTTGATCACCACTACTTCTTACCTCTTTTTACTCTTTTCAACTTTATCTCTTCCCACTTACCGTTTTGTACCCTATCGGATCTAAAGATTTCATGTTTCCACTACTCGTATGGTTATAACAAAATAAAGATGTCAATGCCTAAGCTTAGGCCCAATGGACTACCTAAATTGGGTTTACGGCCTAAGGCTCGAAGTCAAATGCTTCTAAATATCCTAGTTCTCTTTTTTTGCTCAGATTAATTTAGTTAGGAAACCAATGTTTCTTTTTGACAAAAAAAAAAAAAAAAATCAATGTTTCTTGATTGTATTTATGTGTAGCTTGAAAGGTGAAATTTGTATTGTAGAGGTAGTCTATATTTTTCTAAAGTTTCGACTAAAAAGTAAAAGTCAAAATCTAAAAAAAAAAAGATTTTTGAAATCATATATACTAAAAACTCAGTCTACTATATTCTCTGATCACCGGTGAAAATTTGTGTTTTTGGAGTTTTGCAGGCTTTTGTGTGATGGCCCTTCACTTCCGGAACTTCTTTTTGTCTTCACTTTCTCCATGTCAGACTTTATGCATAAGTAAGTAGTCACGTCAATATCTTACTTTTAATGTGTATTACTATTACATAATATCTTTCTTTTTTTCTTCTTTATAATTTGTATGCTTCATCCAGTTTCGGAGTTGACCTGTATTAAATTACACTAAACCCCAGACGCCAGACTTAAGCCATGAAATTTCCAAATACTATTTTCTTAATATTTACATGAATTTTTTTAGTCATCGAACTATCGAGAAACATGAGTAAAAAAATTTATGAAATGGTGAAAGGAGAATTTTTCCAAAATCAAAGACACATCCAAGAATCTGTCTCTGTATCCGTATCATGTATGGGTTGTGTGAATCTATCATCCACGTGAAACACACTTTGAAGAATTCCCATCCGATCAATGTGAAACACTTTTAAATATGACGGCTTCCATAATTGATAATTTATAATATTTGGTTTATAATAGACGTATGCTTTGTATATAGGATTCGAACTGGATTGATTTGGTTAACGACTTAACGTGCAAGATCTTACAAATCATATTTTTGTAAGACAGGTTTCTAGAACATACTAGTATAATGGACGCTAAAGATTAATGATTATTTAAGAGAAGAACAATACATTTCCTGAATCATTAGAGATAGTATTCTATACAATTACAAGTTTTCGATTTGGAAGATTTTGGCTTTTAATTTATAGTCTTTATTAGTCTCGGATTAGCTATATATATATTGGTAATACGTGCACAAACATACACCTCTATGTACCTGAACCTGAACCTGAATCGGCCAAACCGAAACAATTTATTTGGCTATTTCTATCTGCAGTTGCTTGGCAAAATATTCGCCGATCTGTTTGGTTTTCTTTTTGTCAACGTCGATGTATTGTTTATTGTATCAAATATAAAATATATAATGAAAGTAACAAGGAAATTATTTAAAAATTATTGCAACTTGCTGTTTCCTCATTGGCCATAAGGTATATATTGGATCTAAAAGGAATCGCCAACAAGGCATATCCTTTCGTTTAATTATTCCACGCAATCATTCAACTAAAGAAATGAATTATATACGTGGCCATTATATGTCTTTTGCTAAATTATATTTTCATTTCATTTTATTTTACTTTTGCAAGCCACTTCTGAGAATAGCATCATAGGAGGATTTATATTTATAAGGGTATGTGTAAGCATATATACAGTCACAAGATGTAGAGTCCTATTTAACTATTTTCGAATTGTTTTTATTTTTTTCTATTAAATTTTGCAATACTCTCGTAAATCCCGATATTCATATGATTAAAATGTAGGCGAAACAGCTCACAATAGGAGTATTCACACGTATAGTCAGAAGCCTGAGGTACTTAGTTAATTGTACTAATTTCGAATGAATAAGAATTTTCATAAAACGTTTTATAATCAAATTCCAATTTTTTTTTTGAATAACTCGTACTTCCAAATTGAATGTATTTATCAACATTTCTAAAAAGAGTATGTGTAGCAGTTGAACTGTAATGCAATTTACTAGTAACTCCGTTTACTAAGAGTTAATGATATATCTTTTGAATTTCAAGTTTTTATTCTGATCATAATCCAGTCGTAGATGAAATTATGAATGGTTTCTTCCAAAAAAATTCATGATTTCTAAGTCTCGTTAATAAATATTTCAATTATTGTATCTAATCGATAATTGGCTACTGCTGAAGACACCGCATTGGAACATTGGCGGCAGAAAGGTGATAATTGATAAATTGTTACCACGATTAACACGCAATTAATAATTAACGATTTCACTTGGTCGTATACTCTTATATCATGTTTTACCTCAAATTTTAAAACATTTTCAAAACATGTAAGAAAAAAAAATATTTTCAAAATTACTACAAACTAGGCCAACAAATTGAAATCTGCCTTATAATAATAGGATTAAAAACTCAAACTTGGAGATACAATTTGAATATTAGCATAATTAATGCCGTGATAATACTATATATGTTGTTTCGTGCATAGCTGAACAATAAAATTGGTTGGAAGTGACAGCATAAACAACGTGTCAATCTCGGATTAGCTAGATTAGTCAAATGAAAACCAAACCGAAACGGCTGAAGTAAATAACATAATTTAAAATTCGATTTTTTTTTGTTTAGTGTGTGTGAATATGTTTGGAGAAGGGGTCGGTCTCGTCGCCAGCTGGCTAACTCCAGATAGACGGTGAGGATTAAGTTATCAGAATATCAAATAGCTGACGTGGCTTATACTATTCTTCTTCCTTTTTCCACAGTTTCTTTCTACCCTTTAAAACACCAATCATTGCTTCTCGTCGCCTGCACATTCTCTCTCCCTCTCTCTCTAAAAGTCTAATTTTTTCCCAAAAAAAATTGGGTTCTTTCTTTCTTCTGAAACGAGCTTCGTGTGTTTTTACGAATTACCAGGGTTTATTTCCGTAAACAAGGGTAAATTTTTAAGTTGATATCAAGAGAAACCAAAGAAAGAAAGAAACGTTTATTTTGTGTGTTTTTTAATTTACTGTTTCTGCAATGGTTTTGTTTTGTGAAATTTTTCTTGGAGAAGAAGGGTTAGAAGACGGAGAGTGGAAAAACGAAAGATAACTCTTCAAGAAAATCCAATAAAACACAGTTATTTCTTTTTAAAATCTTTCCTCTGTTTCAGAAAACAGAGACAAACGAGAAGATCATTAGCAAATTGCGTTGCTTTCTCATCTCCTTTCTCCTGGTAAATTCTTTTCTTCTTGATTCTATTTTTTGTTGTCTTAACGAGGAAACCTGAAGCTGATTACTTGATCAAAATCTTTCGAACAGGGTTTAAATCGAGAAACCATGACTACAAGTCTACTAAGCGATCCAACGATGCTAATTTCAACACCAGAGGTGATGATCGTCTCGCATCAGCCATCTCCGTCGTCGACGACACAAGTATCCGGCGACGAGCCAGAGCCGGTGACGTGTGATTGCTGCGGATTAACCGAGGAGTGTACACAATCTTACATAGAGATGATCAGAGAGCGTTACATGGGGAAATGGATCTGTGGACTCTGTTCTGAAGCCGTGAAGTACGAGGTTATAAGAACAAAACGCTTGCTAACTACAGAGGAAGCCATGGCAAGACACATGAACACGTGCTACAAGTTCAAATCCTCAAGCCCACCTCCTAATCCAACCGGACATTTGATCTCTGCTATGAGACAGATCTTGAGAAGAAGCTTAGATTCTCCAAGGATGCTTAGATCAATGCCTAGTAGTCCTTCTAAAGACGAAGATGATGATGATGCTTGTGTTTCAAATGTTTTGTCTAGGTCGGATAGCTGTTTCGCCAGTTTGACTTGAAAAACTCATCGTTGCAAGAAAAAGAAAAAAAGTTTAAACCGGTGGCAACCGTCGGTTTAGCGACCACCACCTGGAAAGAATCCGGTTTTCTGATTGGAAATTTTCGTCAGTAACCAAAATTGGTCTCTGTATGTGTTTTCTTGCCGGATTTGTGTACCTGTGGAAAATTTTGGGCTAAATGCTTTAAAAGAACAATTTGCTCGGTTTCTTTTTTAGTACTTTCTTTTTTCTTTCCCCCCAATTGATAATAATGGTTCGGAGTTGTGTCATTGTTTAGCTTAGTTGAACAAGAACAAAATAATGTGGATACTATTCGATTAAAAATAGATGATAAAAAAGAAGATTCTTACTAATTTATTTATCATTTTGAAAAGACATGTATGAACAGAAAACATCGAAGGTAGTAGCCAGTAGGGTCATGCTTATCTTTATGATGATTCTCTATCACAAAATTGAAACGAAAAAGGTGTTTCTTTAAACTGTGAGTTATTTTGATCAAAATGAATATAATGTAATGAATCGGTTAACAACATGTACAAACATTTGAGATATGTTTTATTGATTTAAAAGGTAAGTAGATGGGTTGGTTGTCCAATAATCACTACTACTCACAATAGGTTCTAAAATTTGGAATCTATTCTATTATGATAAAAATCAAATATAAGAATCTTATTTGAGCATAATTGTAACGTGTAGGCATTCACAAATTGGCTAACTACTTTGATTCGACATTTCGACTACATGAACATATAAATTTTACTTCAACTTGCTAACATCTTAGAATATAATTAAACCGAGAAAAAATGAGAAATACAAGTTAGAAGGTGGAAGGATAAAGTTGAAGGGATCACATGCAATAAATAAATGTAATACATGCGTAATACGTTTCTATATATGTGTATTGAAAGTCTCAAGTTAACAATGAATTTAGCCTAGAAGATAATTTGAACTCGAAGTTTTTTTTTTTTTTTTTTTGAACGTGAAGTTTCGTTTTCTATGTTTCTTGATTAGAAGTTATTACAATCTCAATAGGCATATTGCAGCATATGCACCATGGAGGCATGGACTTTTACCACTATTTTGCCTATGTTCGATTCTGGACGAGTTGTTCTACTAATGTTGTTACTTCAGTTTGGGTTTCTGCTAAACTGTGTTTTGCTTTGGTCTAAACTATATGCTCTCTTGGTAAGATATTTTTTTTCGTTCGATCGACACTTAATGCATTTTTTACTTTCTGTTGCTCTGGTATGTGTATGTTTGCACTGGCAAAGTAAGTTGAGAAGGAGGAAACTGATATAAGAAGTCTTTGGGTGTTACAGAATTTGGATCATGGATTGGCTCAAAAACATTAGGAGAGCAACAATAAGGAGCAGAGTGGGACGCGAGCTGAAGAAACAATACTTATGGCAAGGGATATATTGGAGAAGATTCAAGTAGAGATTTAATCGGAGTAAAGGTTGAAATCACGTATGTATTAAAGAAGTGATTCAATCATTAAGAATATGCACACATAAGTTTCTATGTTTGATTGGGAAATAGAATTATAGAAACGAGAGAGAAATATATGTGGTTGAAAGATTGGGTACATCATATGCACCATCAATTTCAACCTAAAACTTATACTTGTATAATTAGTTCAACTAATCACTTCATAAAGTAGTGGAGTCATACGTATATCGTCGCATTTTTTTTCGAAGTCCTTTACTTCGAATTTCCATTTGCATAAAAAGAACTCAATAAACATTAAATCATTAATATGTACATATAATCAATGGGTGGGTACTGATACCTGTTACCGTCCTTGACCTGTTACTCGACTTGTATCCGCTTCAAAATGTTTTCGAAACTTTTTATGATTAGTTCCACACAATTTTTATGATTAGTTCCACTAGTCAATTACTAAAATAATGGAGTCATACGTACGTATATCATCGCATTTTGTTCTAAGTCACTTACTTTACAATTTCCATTTTCATAACAGGAAGTAGGAACAATATACACTAGTTGTCCAAAAAAACTATAATATAAAAGGAACTAATAGTTAACCAAAAGAAACTTCATAATTATAATAAAATAACATCTAATCTAGTGTACGGTAGTGTTGGGCATTGATATCTGTTACACCGTCTTCAACCTGTTACTTGACTTATATCTGGTTTATCGTCGCATTTTTTAGTAATTTATTTTAGAAATTCTATTTGCAGAAAGAAACTTAATAGTTATGCATAAAATAACATCAATATTAGTGTATGGTAGGTCTGAACGCGTTACCCATCTTAGATCTGTATCCATTTCGTACCCGTCTCAAAAAGATATTCATAGCTATTTCCAACTGTGCAAGTATAACACACAAATAGATATCAAAATTACAGTTTTACGATTCATTTATACGGGAGTATTATACCAATATATCGTCATCTTTCGGTTCATAAAATCATGGCCACATCTAACAAGATGCATACACGTTGCCAACTTCTTTGAGTTCTGAAGTATTTTGTCTGGGATGTATCATAGTGGCGGATCCAGGTGTAACAGGATGGGAGCAGCTGCCCCAGTAAAATATACAAATAAAATTATTGGTCCTAGTTGGTCCAAAGACTCTATTTGCACCAAGTGGATTATGATTCAAATCTCTTCAAAAACAATTTTTTTATATGCCACATTAAAAAAAAAATTCTAAATCCGCCACTCTGAATACGGGACAAGTACTTGCCATTTTTGGTATACTTGATACTTAACCCGCCCCATTCAAGTATCAAGATATTTGTACTTGTACTTGATTTGTTAATATCAAATACTTGCAATTTCTATTACTTGCCAAATTTTCATTATTTGCAAATTACTTGGTTTGTTCCGTTACTACAAGTAAAATACTAAAAAAACTATAATTTCGGGTCATATTTAATTAAAACCCATGATATTTTGATCTTTATGCTTTTGGAAAACTAGCTTTATATATTGAAGTCTAGCAACTTATTTGTCTTTTTATAAGCAGACTCTTCTTTCATTTTTTATGTTGTATTCGATGTGGAATAAAATTAAAAAAAAAATCAGAGATTAGAAATGAGTAACGGGTTAATAAAACCAAGTAGTAACTTTTTTTTAATACTTGATACTTACCTTATACTTGCAAGTAATGCCTTATACTTGCAAGTAATTTTCTTAAAATACTTGATACTCGACTTGATCAAAACAAGTACTTAGTTTTACGAGACAAGTACGGGTCAAGTAACGAGTACGGGACTAGTACCAAGTAATTGTGCCCAGCCCGACATCTATGTGTCAAGCATAGTATTGGCATTTATATCTATTCTCGTTGCAACTATATTTGAGGGAGCGTATTGCATATATAGTCCATTGAGGCTTCAGACGTTGGTTCTTGATTACTTTTTTCTCCTCTGATTATCGTTTGATAAAGGCTCCGATTGATTATAGTTATAAATTGCAGCGACAAAATAGTCAATGTACTCTAGCATTGATAAGGACCCACTACAAATTAAGCGTGACATCTTTTTTGTTTAAGTATTTTCTTAAAAGTGCATGAGAGTTGAAGTTCAATTAAATCCTAATGACCCGTGGATAGACGTGAGCATAAACAAACTCTCCGATAGTGGGAGTCTGGGAGACAACTTGTGGCTTCAAGCATCTTGACAGGCCTCATCACGGAGGGAAGTATCAATCTTTGTAATTAGTTTCATTGTTTTGTTAGCTAGTTCCGTTTGTTTTGGAGCACCACCCTTCTTGGTCGGTACTACACTACCACGTTTAAAGCATAGTTGCTTTTTAATTTTCGTTTCCTTTGGTCGGAGATCATTGATAAGAAAAATTTAGGGAGTTAGTACGTTGGAGTAATTCGCAGCCCATCAAAATAGACTAAATGATATTTTCTCATAATCGGTTCTTTCTTCATAAGGTATTTTTTTATATGACAAAAGGACTAGAATGTTGAAAAAATGGGATTAGATCTTTGCGTGGCCCACAAAGGCGTCCACAAAAATGTGAAACATCACTGAGTGTCTCGCGCACACAACTTTATTTTTCACGTGCTTGCATTTTTTTTTTTTTGAACATTACGTGCTTGCATTTTTGTGTGTTCAATTAATTTTCCATTTATAACAAAAAGATGGAAACATTGATTATTTGAATATTTGCCGTTGAAATTCTTTGTAAGAAAGGTGTAGTTGAAATGGAAAAAAAATATTCAAACGTGTCATGATATTATTCAAAGGTAATTATCCCTGTATTGTCAAATATTAGAGATAACGTAAGTATTCTATATGCAAAAATAAATATTGATATACAGCTTCTTTTGTGTGTCTGTTTCAGCTCACATATTTATATTGTTTGACTTTGTAGGTTATAATTTCATTGGAAGTCATACCAATTGTGTAGCATGGACTTGTTCACGATGCCGGAGAGACAAAGCCTTGATACTTGACCAATATTATACGACCATGCTTCCGCCACATCTAACAAAATAATTGGTCAAAAGGATTATTATATGTATATATAAACGAAAACGAATTATTAAATACATAAACAAGTACAAATGTGTTGGAAAAAACTGCAAATATGTTTTTGCCACTAGCTCAATGCTGTTTCAATTCTTTTCTCCAAATATAACTACTTGGATCTAAGTTCGATTTCACTTGTACGAGTTATGCAACATGCATGACATGCTTTAGAATCCGTTACATGTAATTAATTGATTGTGTCGAATCTAAAAAAATTTGCACTATAATTGCCATGGTAGACTAGTCTCGAACTATTTTGATGGTCTATGAAGAACTTGAGTCAAAGACAATTTTAATGTTGTCAAGAAGCTAAAAAGCACAAATCTTAATACATAACAAAAAAATAACATTTTCCTGGATGGGCTTTACGACCTGATGCTTTATACTAATGACTTTTAAAATGGGAGGAGGTTCAATACAAAGGCATCACTTAAACGTACGTGAATATGCTTCTTCTTAGTAGGCGTTGTTATATATAGACTAATAAGTAATGAAACATTATAAGCTTTAAGGAAGTTTCATCAACTAACTTTTTGTTTTTAAAGTTTCTTCGACTAATATATAAAGCGACTAAACATTGCCCAAACCAAAGAGGCGGCAAGTGAGCAATTTGTTGTACCAAAATGGTGGCTATAACGACTTAAAGATACTCTTCTTCCCTGAAAACTCTACAAAGAAAAGATTATCTATTTTTAAAAGTT